TCCGGCGACCCAAATTCGACGAGAACTCCGACAACAACAAATCCGGCCAAAGAAGTGATTCCGACGACAAATTTGTGCGGCCAAATATTCATTTTTTCCGGCAACATTCGTGCTTTTTCTGGCCAAAATTTGAAGTAGCAAGTAATATATGTATTATATGAGCATTTTGGAGTCCAAAAATCATGTTTAATTCATATATATTTGGTTAATTTGTTTGGGATGAATTTTGAAAATTGTTGTTCATATTAACCCTAAATATATTAAATTGATCAAAATCTATTATTTCTTGTTTATGCATACGAAATTGATGCTATTGTTAAGTTATGTAATGTGTTATTCACCTAAAACAAGAAAATAAGGTGGAAATGATCACTGTATCACTATTCTTGATTATTGTACCTCTGTTTGCATGTATATAGTACCACTTTTATACTGTTTTGTACCATATTTTCCTGGGAATGTGAAGTTTTTTTTATTTATCCAAATATTGTTAGCTACATGGAAGGGGCACAAAGTGATATACTAAGGAGTTGTACATACAAGAATGAATTGTTTATGTTCTCTATGCACATTGGAGTCCAAAAATCATGTTTAATTCGTATATATTTGGTTAATTTCTTAGGGATTGAATTTTGAAAATTGTTGTTCATATTAACCCTAAATCAATTAAATTGATCAAAATCTCTTATTTCTTGTTTATGTATACGAAATTAATGTTATTGTTAAGTTATGTAATGTGTTATTCACCCTAAAACAAAGAAAATAAGGTGGGAATGATCACTGTACCACTATTTTCTATTATTGTACCTTTGTTTGCATGTATATAGTACCACTTTAATACTGTTTTATACCATATTTTCCTGGGAAATGTGAAGTTTTTTTTTTATTTATCCAAATATTGTTAGATACATGGAAGGAGCACAAAGTGATATACTAGGGATTTGTACGTACTAGAATGAATTGTTTGTGTTCTCTATGCACATTGGATCAACGCTTGACGAAGTGTACACTCTCATATCAAAGAGGTGGCCGAACGTTAACTACGACCATAATGTGGCATCTTCCTCGTTACAACATGATTATGCCATTCATGCCCGGATGTACGATCTCAACTTGGACGAAGGAAGGAAAAAAAGGTTTTCTTCACAAGTTGATGTTGCGGTAAGCGTTGTGGTGGTCGGGGACACATGTTTGTTTATTGTTTTGGGCAGGTGTGTTGGCATGTGTTGTAGTTTTATTTTTTTTTTATTTTTTTTGTCGGAATATGTATTTTGATGATACATTATTGACATATTCCGAGTTATGCACTGTATGAATATTTTACGAGTAATGCTGCAGTACGTACAAAACATGATATAAAAGATGTTTCATTTTCATATGCATTCACAATTCTGCATTGGTACTTAAGAACGACAAACCAGGTACCCTTCTTTTACAATATAAGTACTAGTTTTGTGGACATATGTGTGTACTCATTTTCATTCCAAAGAGTGGGTAGTAAATGACACTTTATGAGTAATATTTTTGTACAATATACTGGCATTTCATACTGCAATATAGGTAATAGTTTTGTGAAGTTTTAATCGGTGTATTACATTTTCATTCCAGAAAGTTGGTACTAATTGATCAATAACAGTTACTTCGTAGAAGAAAAGGCGGTATTGTATCTGCCAAAACTGGTAACGGTCAATGAGTTGAATTGTATTAAGTAGTGTTTTTCCATTAGTGTGTTGAGTTCGTGACCAATTTGGGATTAAACTTAATTAACCAAATATCAAATATCATAGAAACTAATGTCAGAGTGATTATGGGTCGCACAAATATCATTTGCGACAGAAATTCGGTCTTCTTATGTGTTTATTACAAGTGGTACTAGGGACATGATATCTGGTACTATCACGCCATAAAGTGGTACTGCCTTACACTGTAACTGGTACTACTTTTTGTAAATGTTGACCACAATTAAAATAATCAAATTTTTCTTCACAAAAGTTGGTACTAATCGATCAATAAAAGGTACTACGTAGAAGAAAAAGAGGTATTATTTCCGTCGAAATTGGTACCATTCAATGAGTTGAAGTGTATTAAGTAGTTTTTTCCATTTGTGTGTTGAGTTCGTGACCAATTTGCGATTAAACTTAATTAATCAAATATCAAATATCATAGAAGCTAATGTCAGAGTGATTATAGGTCGTATAAACATCATTTGCGACTGAAATTCGGTCTTCTTATGTGTTCGTTACAAGTGATACTAGGGACAAAATATCTGGTACTAACTCGCCACAAGGTGGTACTTACTTACACTATGACTGGTACTACCTTTTCTACATGTTGAGCAGAATTGAAATAATTAATTTTTCTTCATAAAAGTAGGTACTAATAGATCAAAATCAGGTACCACGCAGAATAAGATGCAGTACTATGTTGCCCAAAATCGGTACTATTATCAAAATCGCGATTTCTCTAATCCTTCATGTCTACCATGACACGTGGTTCGTTCACACGTGATTTGGATGAAAAAAATGTCTAATTGAAAACATATAGGTAGAATTTGGAGTAGTCATGTATGATGATTTCTATGAGATGAAGTGAAGCATTCAATGAAATGAAGTCTAGTAGTAGTATTTTCTCATTAGTGTATCGAGTTCATGACCAATTTGAGATTAAACTCAATCAAAAACATTTAAAATCTTATATAAACTAATGTCAGAGTGGTCATGGGTCGTATAAACATCATTTGTGACCGAAATTCGGTCTTCTTATGTGTTCATTACAAGTGGTACTAGGGACATGATATCTGGTACTAACTCACCATAATATGGTACTGACTTACACTATGACTGGTACTACATTTTCTAAATGTTGAGCAGAATTGAAATAATCAAATTTTCTTCAAAAAATTAGGTACTAATCGATCAAAATCAGGTACCACGCAGAATAAGATGCGGTACTATGTTGCCCAAAATCGGTACTATTATCAAAATCGTGATTTATCTAATCCTTCATGTCTATCATGACACGTGGATCGTTCACACGTGATTTGGATGAAAAAAAGTGGAATTGAAAACATATAGGTAGAATTTGGAGTAGTCATGTATGATGATTTCTATGAGATGAAGTGTAGCATTCAATGAAATAAAGTATAATAGTAGTGTTTTCTCATTAGTGTATCGAGTTCATGACCAATTTGCGATTAAACTCAATCAAAAACATTTAAAATTTTATATAAACTAATGTCAGAGTGGTCATGGGTCGTATAAACATCATTTGCGATCGAAATTCGGTCTTCTTATGTGTTCATTACAAGTGGTACTAGGGACATGATATCTAGTACTAACTCGTCATAATATGGTACTGACTTATACTATGACTGGTACTACCTTTTCTAAATGTTGAGCAGAATTGAAATAATCAATTTTTCTTCAAAAAAGTAGGTACTAATCGTTCAAAATCAAGTACCACGCAGAATAAGATGCGGTACTATGTTGCCCAAAATCGGTACTATTATCAAAATCGCGATTTCTCTAATCCTTCATGTCTACCATGACACGTGGATCGTTCACACGTGATTTGGATGAAAACAAAGTGGAACTAAAAACATATAGGTAAAATTTGGAGTGATCATGTATGATGATTTCTATGAGATGAAGTGAAGCATTCAATGAAATGAAGTCTAGTAGTAGTGTTTTCTCATTAGTGTATCGAGTGCATGACCAATTTGAGATTAAACTCAATCAAAAACATTTAAAATCTTATATAAACTAATGTCAGAGTGGTCATGGGTCGTATAAACATCATTTGCGACCGAAATTCGGTCTTCTTATGTATTCATTACAGGTGGTACTAGGGACAGATATCTGGTACTAACTTGCCATAAGGTGGTACTGACTACACTATGACTGGTACTACCTTTTGTAAATGTTGAGCAGAATTGAAATAATCAATTTTTCTTCAAAAAAAGTAGGTACTAATCGATCAAAATCAGGTACCACGCAGAATAAGATGCGGTACTTTGTTTTCCAAAACTGGTACAGTTTTAATGAGATGAACTATGTTGACCACAATCGAACAAGGGATTTTCGTTGAAACTAAGTCGGTACTAATTGATCAAAAACAGGTATTGCGTACAAGAAGAAGCGGATCGTTCACGCGTAATTTGGTTGAGTGGAAGTTAAACCATATAGGTAGAATTTGGAGTAGTAATGTATGATGATTCTATGAGATAAAGTATGTCATTCAATGAAATGATGTGTATTAGTAGTGTTTTGTCATTAGTGTGTCGAGTTCATGACCATTTTATGATTAAACTCAATTGAAAACATTTTAAATCTCATATAAACTAATGTGAGAGTGATTATGGATCATATAAACATCATTTGAGACCGAAATTCGGTGTTTTCATGTGTTCATTACAAGTGGTACTAAAGACCCAATATCAAGTACTACAAAAATATAAAACTAGTATTATCTTACTATATGTATGGTACTACTTTTTGTAAATGTTGACCAAAATTGAAATAATCCATTTTCGTTCACAAAACTAGGTACTAATCAATCAAAAACAGGTACCACGTAGAAGAAGTTGCGGTACTATTTTTGCTAAAACAGGTACTATTTTAAGAATCGTGATTTCTTTAATCATTCATGTCTACCATGACACGTAGATCATTCACGCGTGATTTGGATGAAAAATAGTGGAAGTTAAAACATATAGATAGAATTTAGAGTAATCATATATGATGATTCTATGAGATGAATTGTGTCATTCAATGAAATAAAATGTATTAGTAGTGTTTTCTCATTAGTATGTCGAGTTCATGACTATTTTACTATTAAACTCAATTTATAACATTTTAAATCTCATACAAACTAATGTGTTCATTACAAGTGGTACTGAAGACCTAATATCTGATACCATTTTAATGAGATGAAGTGTTGGTAGTGTTTTTTCATTAGTGTGTGAAGTTCGTGACAAATTTCGTTGACCAAAGTAGGTACTAATGATAAAAAACAGGTACTGAATACAAATATTATTGGTACTATTTGTAGGAAAACAATGTATTATATTAACAAAAACTCCAAAAACAATATGAAACATCGAAACACTAAATACCAAATTCTACTCCGTGCAGACCGCCACAACCCCAGCAAACAACTGAAAAAATGGCAAAGAGTTGATACCAAAAAATCTCCATCAAACTATTTGCAACTAACTATCAATTACAAACACCAAAAAGACTTCATTCATTCACCACTTGATCACTCCTAAATTCTTGTGCATTTTTGCGGAGAGAAAATGGTGCCTTTGACTTTGTACACTCATCGGTCACTGCTCAAAGACAATGAAATGATCCTACCCCGTGCAGCACCCACCTGAACTTGGGCACCGAATTTCGAGGCTGTTCGGTAAATCGACCAAACACCTGGCGGGCTGCAGCTGGAGAAGTAAGAGGACGTGAGCTGGTTAAATTATTCCATCAATGTCTTTCAATATATAGATATAGATATAGATTGTGGCAAAACATTTACCACTTGTCTTAAATAACTTAACAACCAAAAAGGAATTCTATATCAACACTATTCTGATATTCAGGACATTCAAAAGTTAGTATTGATAATGATATATCTCTTTGTTGAGGGGTCATAAAAAGAAAAAAAAATAACAATCTAGCACCAGTCCACTTCTAAATAAAAACCAAAAATTTAATATGCAGTTAGTTGCATGTGTTTTTCTAACACATTAAGATAAACCCAGAAAGCCAGAACTCATTTATAACACAAAATGATGAAAGCCTAAGCCCAACACACATTTTGAAGTCGAAATGAACGGATCAGCTAACGGGTACAAATCCAACGAGTCGGGTCAAATAAGTTCTTTATTTAGTTATTTTTTTTTTAAGAAAAAAAGAGCTTAGAACTATGGAAATCACTCAGTTAAAGCCTAAAATGACAAAAGAACAGAAAAAGAGGAGCAAATATTCCGGCCACAAAATACAAAGGCTCCACCGTCCCACATCACCTAATTAACCTAGGATTTGAAATTTCTAATAACACCAAACAAAGGACTCATAATAGTTACTAGCTAGCATTATAGACACACATATCTCCAGTTTCTCCATGCCATGTCACTCAATAAGTGAACCACACAAAAGGTTAAAAGTTGAAACAACTCTACAAGATATATATTTAAAAAAAAAAAAGATTGCATATTTTTAACTGCATTACATTCCAGGCATAGCGAAATGGGAGCTGCAGACCAACTTATTAGTTATTTCAGCATAGGGTCCTGAATATGATCTGAACTAGCTCACTCATTATTTTCCACTTACAAATAACAAGGTTTCAATATGGTTGGTTGTTGGTATAGTGATCTAAACAAGAAAAATTCATACCTTGACTCAAAAGTTCCTAATATTTTGTAATGGGCAGCCCGAACGTATTTTAAAACTGAAATTCAAAATTTTGAGCACAAAACATATGAATGTTAACTACTTTCATTCGAACACCCAAAAACACATAGAACAATACTAAATCAGCAACACCAACATTATTCAATCTTTTACCTAGGAACTTCATAAGTTTAATTCCAAATACGTTGCTAATCAAAATACCAAGGCATTACACAAAATACACACAAATCCCAACAATTTTTTTCCTCCTAATTATATATCTACAGACAAGCTTCGTTAACAACTAATGAATAAGAGATACGAATAATAAATCAAGAACCTTTAACACAACCCTTACCGTAACATTTTCTGGCGAGCCTAGCACAGTCGAGCCAGAACCTGGGCATTGGGGTCCACCTCGATGACCACATCGGAGATGAGATCTGAACCAAATCCTTGAATCCAGTGATCCTACCCCGTACCCTGGCCACAACAACCACATAAACTGAGCGGCGAATTTCGAGGCGTTCGGGCAATCGTTCGAACACCTAGCGGACTGCGCCTGGAGAAGTAAGAAGACGTGACGTGGTTGAGCCGGAGGACGCAGGGGATGCAACGATGCCGTCGTCGACGACGAATCGGAGGAATTTGTCTGGTTTGAGCACGCGGGTCACGACGTACCCGACTATTTCGGCCCGTGAAAGGGTTTTGCCGTTGATTGAGAACGAGGGCGATTGGTCTGTGGGTTTTGCCGTACCCAAAGCAAAACAAGTCCACATTTCCCCCTTCGGACAGCCCCCACTCTCCATCGAAAAGGAAAACCCATTTAGTCGACTTCCATCGAACGCCATGGATATTCAGATCTATGGCGTCCCCAATCTCTTTCTCCCCTTCACTACCGCCCTCGTTCTCATTCTCGCCGCCACTGCCACCGCATTGCCGGATTTTTCGAGTTGGGATTGATTTTCTGAGATGTGGGGTTTGGAGCGCCAGCATTTTTTTTTTCTTTTCTTATGATTTTTTATGAGGGGAGAGCGAAGAGAGAGATGCGGAGGAGAGGGTGAAGAAAGAGATAATAGTATTATCAGGTAAAATAAATTCAATAATAATAGTATGAGTATTTATATGGGAAATTGGGAGGAAAGATAAATATGTATTAGAGAGTGCAGAGGAAAAAATAAAGCATTAGGGACTGACAAGGAAACTCAAATGTGCATTGGGGATTTATAAGGAATTATTTATTTTTTTTAATTTATTTTTTATTTATTTAAGTAGGAAGGAGTTAGGAATATGATTCAGGAGTAGAGAGTGCAGTGACAAATAAAAGTTAAGGGCTGATTTTGAACTTGAAGTGGCTTTAGAGATTTATATAGAAGTCGCGCAAGAAATAATTCCCACTTAACAATGTCCAACTGCTTAGTAACTTGTGCATTCCCACACGAATAAAACAAAAGGCAGCCAAAATATAAATGCAAGCATAATTTGCGTTTTGAAAAAGTCGCTGAAAAATTAAAAAGCCAACAAAAAGTTAGTCCGACTTCCACCTCCAACAAATAAGAAGTCAACTCACAGTACTCGATAAGCCCAAGACAGCAAACAAAGCATTAAAACTTAATCAAATAGGCCTATAATCATGTCGTCTTCAGACTCCTCAGGCTCCTCTTTGTTTTCCACCTCCTTAGCCACAGACGCCGGAGCACCACCAGCAGCAACAGGTGCAGCAGCTGCAACAGCAAACTTGCTCGGATCCTGCATTGTTGACAAATTAAACCAGCAAATTAATCACAGACAGAAAGCCAAAACTGTCATTTTTTGCATTTCAACACATTTTTCCATATCATCAAACTTTAAACAGTAACATCATATCCATCCCAGCTAATCACAAGATCAAAAAAACATCATCATCAGCAATTCAATTCAAATCAATTCAATTGAGAAGCAAAAGGAGGCATATACCGCAAGATACTCCTTGACTTCATCAGCCAGACGGAAAGAGTAATCGGTCTCTACCGCAACAGCCAACACATTCTTGTAGCCGTTGATCAACAAGTGGGGTGCAGCCGATAGGGTCGGATAAGCTATGGCGAGCGAAAGAGAGGTGATCATAGAGACACCGGCTGCAAACTTTTGAATGAGGTCATCATCAGTCAAGTCAAGAACCTCTGGGCTGAAAACCGAGCCATTGTCGTAAACCGAGAGCACAACAAGCCCATAAGAGAAAGGCCTTATGCCCAGCTTCGAAAGCAGAGCAGCTTCTGAGGACCCAACTTTGTCCCCCTTCTTGATAAGTTCAACTGGGGTGATGATCTCAACAGTTCCCTTGTTAATCTTTGTTGGGATGTTAAGGACCTGTTTCAACTCATCAGATATTATATATTATGGTTTACTGGGAAAAATAATGAGACCATAAATAAAAAATTTGCTTTTTACAAGTGTGCTACCTGGAAGAAAGATGTTTGGGATGGATCGAGACCAGTGTTTCCAGGTGGGACCACAACATCGATTGGGGCTACCAAACCAACACGAGCAGGGGCTCCAACCTATTAACAATCATGACAGACAAAGAAAAAATAAAAATATAAAATTATATGCACATCATGCAACAAAGATAGAAAGCAAAGTCTACAACATGTGGTTAACCTTCCCAATCTCACTCCATGTGGTCACCATTTTCCACAATAACAATTATTTGAATTCAATGAAGAAATATGATTTAACTAAAAAAGGGATTAAGAAGGCTAATCCAAGTCAAAATGTGTGCTGTGCAGGCTATATGGTGACTTTAATGGACCAGGTATCATTTGCATTTATTTAAACAGAAGACTGCCAGACAGACAACTAATTTAGGTACCAAGAAGAGACAATAATAGGGAAACATTAATGAGTAAAACTCTTAAGAGGCACACTGAACAGCAAACATATCAAGTATAATCATGCACAAGGACTATAATAGCATAAATTTTATATCTGTCATTGCAAGGGTTTTAGTCCATTCACCTTGTACTTGGCAACCTCATCGCTGACTTCTTTCAAGTCACCCTTGGTGAAGATCAGCCCAACATTTCCCTGTTACAGGACATTATAATAACAGAAAAAACAAAAATTAAGAAGTATATTGGGATCCAGCCATTTCTATAATTAATAAACAAACTAATATGCTTGTTCGCCATATTAGCCACATATAAAATTGCGAAACAAAAAGGTAGAGGTCATATATTGCCATGCAACGAGATCAATAACTACATATTAATTTGTAATTTAAAAAAAAAAAAAAATAGCAATACGATTATTTATATTCAGGAACATATATACATCAGATTATTCATCTTCCGATTTCAGTAATCCAACTACCTAATTGCAAAAGTGGCTCGCAGACCATGATAAATATTACAACATGAAATAGAAAATTGAGACTTACTACAAGGAGAGGGATGAGACTGAGAATATCTTCGTTCCCAGTCTTCTCGACATGAAGCCTGATACTCCTTTTCATCATAGTGTTCTTACCCATGAGAACCACAGAATCGCCTCTCAGACCTCGCCTTATGTTCTGAAGCTGGGTGGAGCCGACGTTGTCCGCAGCCACCACCAAAACCTGTGTGTACTCATCGAGAAATTTGCACAGCTTTTGATCGTAAGCGACCTTCTTCTCGGCCTTAGAAACCTTGGGAGCCATTGATACGGTAAAAAGAAAAAGCCCTAGTTTTTTGACAGTGGTGATTCTGAGGGGCTGCTGGACGGTTTATATATGAGGATGAAAGTTAGGTTCACCTAGATTTCACGGCTAGGATTGGATGTAAGTAGATCGACGGTTGAGATTTATGCTGGCGATAGCATGTACAAACTTTTGAGTTTTTCATATAAGCTTAAAATGAACACTACATTTAGCTTTATCCAAAAAAAAGAAAAAGAAAAAGAAAAAGAAACGCTACATATTCCACGGCTAGGATTGGATGTAAGTGGATCGACGGTTTAGATTTATGTTGGCGATAACATGTACAAATTTTTGAATTTATCATATAAGTTTAAAATGAAACTCTAAATTAGGTTTATCCAAAAAAAAAAAAGAAAAAGAAAAATAAAAAGAGACGCTACATTGGTTCTTTATTTTTACAAGTTAATTTTTCTAGGTAACATTTCATAATTAAGTTAATTAGCACAACGTGAACTACATCGCTGTTGTTATGCGATATTTAACAACGATAATAACATGTAGTTATGATGTAAAATATAAGAGTTTTTGCATTATTGATGTATAATCATAGATTACAGGAAGTCGGTTTTTGCATTAACCGAGTTGATTTGCATGGGTGTATTTAATGCGTGAAAAAAGATTCTCGTACAATAATAAATTTTGTTATTTATAGTAGCTTTGGTTTTTTTTCGGTGTACGAGGTAGGTGTGAGTGCATTTAATGCAAAGGGGCTTTATGAGGGCGGTTGTCTGTTGGTGAGCCCGCAGTAATGATTGCAATTTATGTGGTTAAGATTTTGTCGTGTAGGTGCCTTGTCACCTACTGTCGATCTCGGGTCTAAGATGGGACCTCGGTTAATGGGAGGAACTTCGTGAAGTCGGTCGTCGTTTCTGAATGGGAAGTCGGTTCGACACTTAGCCTGTACTGAGTTGCGCTAAGTTAGTGATGTTGATTGATTTTGGGCGACGATCTTAGATTAGCATTCATAAATTTTCTTCTTGAACCTGGCTTATTAGGTCGGTTGTCAACATAGAGTAGGCATAGGCATACGGGCAGTGATGGCTGCTGATGTCGCTTTTATGCATATGAAATCCGACTTGAGTTACTTTTGATGTTCATCCCGACATTTCGACGTCTGCTTTTATTCCGACGTTCGAGCACTTGTGCGAATTTGGTATGTTTCGTCCTCAAATTGAAACGGCGTAACGTTCACTGACAGAGGCGACGGCTACGAAAAGGAGTGCTTTGTTATTGCTCGCAATAGTAACGGTAGTTTTCATGTGTAAATTGTTGATTGGTCCATCTGTCTTTAATAGAGGTGACGAAACACTTCCTTGAAGAGGTGCATTCATGGTACGCGCCCCTCTTTGGTAATCAACGGTCATAAAATCGCCAGCATAAATACCGGAAACTTTGATTTTATCAAGTTTCACTTCTGCAATTTTCTGAAAACCTTCAAATTCTCAGTGCTCCCTAATTTCTTTGCTTTTTCTGTGCTTTCTAATACGTTTTTAGTCGATATCTGTTGTTTCTTCATCTAGGGTTAATTTTTGATAAGATCATGTCTTTGTCTGTAACGCCCCACTTTGATTTTAAAGAAATTCCAGACTTTCAGAAAAAACAGAATAAATTTTTTAAAATTTATTTCAAACATTTGTGGCGTTACTCATTTATTACCATAACATAAATCATCTAACTCCCAAAACGGGATTCATAAATCCATAAATCATCAATTCGCCCAAATTGGGTTCCCAAAATAAAACATATGTTTTCAAGACATAACAATGTCAACGGGGCATCTCCCCAATAGTATCTCAATACTTCATAAATTCTCAAAGTTCGAAAATACATAAATCATAAATAGTTATAACTATAGCGGAAGCAAAATCAATTAATAAGCGGTCTCATAGACCGACTACCACTCGCTCTACTCCGCCATCGTGCCTGCCTTGCTTAACCTAAAACGTGAATTTCAGGTGGGGATGAGCACAGTTGAAAATCGTAGTGCTCACCACTATGCAATAAACAATTTTCATAGTATATACAGTAAAAGAAGTTATATGATCACAACATGTATAAGAATCAATTGAATATCCCAACTTTTTCATTATAAATTCACAGTGTTCAGATTCATGTGCACATCTATACCAATAGACTACTGCCGGTAGACGTATCGAATGCCCCTCGGGCTTCTATCGATGCCCAGTCAGTAGGAGTAACCCCTCGGGTTTTCATTTCATAAATACAAGGACAACCGTTCGACGGCCGGTACAGCTCACATCGAATGCTACATGATTCGTAGACATACATCAATCATACACAAGTAAAGAAAACTATTCATTGCATAGACAATTTTTAATAAAAACCCACCTGGTCGGAATCGAGACAAATCACAAAATGAGTGTAGGCGGCGAGTTCGACTCGTCAAGCACCTACATTTAATAAAATAGCCCTATCAAAGACTATTCGACAACCACTTAGTCCAGCTAAGCTTACGTAAGCATTTAAGCAGGCATTAAATCAAGGAAAATCACATTTCCGAAAATATCACATAAATTTTGAAACCTTAACCCGGGCAACATTAGTAAAACCGACACAACTTTCAGCACACAACTCATATGATTATGAATCAAGTTGAATTGGAATCCTAAGACATGAATCTACAATTCTTATGAAGACACCAAAAGCAAATAAGGCCATTTAGCAGGTGATAAATCGATAAACATTCAAAAATGAGACACGGTCCAAAACTGAGGTAATGCACTTGACCAGCCCTCAGTAATTACACTCTAACTGGAGCTACAGGCATGATTTTAATGAAATTCAAAAACCACATGATAGATAACTCAAATTTATACAACTTTGATGAAGGTTACTTTGGCAAATAAATACATTTTTTATGAGTTTAAATACAAAACATTTGGTTCAGTAAATCTGTCAAGAACTAACATGTGATATGGACAATACTTCAGTTTTTACAACCTAGACCGAGCTACAGACATCCAAATGACATGGTTCAAGTCTCAAATTAAACCTTAAGCATGCCTATACAACTTTCATTTAGAATACAGAAGCATTTAAGATCATTTGGATAGGCTAAAATCAGTTCACATTCCATATCAGATGTCTGCCAAAGTAATAAGTCCCAATTCAGGCATGTCTAACTTCATACGAGAGCAACTCGAGCTACAGAGCACGTATTGACATGAAATTTATCTCATTTGAAAGGTAAGAAACATATCTACAATTTTCATGAAGGTCATAAGTTCATACGAGCACATTATGACATGAAAAATAGATCACACATTAAAATATATAAGCTGCCGGGTAACCAGAATAACTGGACGAGGATTGGGCCCGATGGCTCCCGATACAGTTAGCTTTCTTTTGCAGTTTCTGGGTCGGGCTACTGGGCCATGATTCTACCAATGTTGTGCTTGGTATGGTATCCCGATTGGGGAAGGGCTTTAGTTATTGTTTTCTCTTTTGGTATTATTTTGTTCTGTGTTTGCCTTGTTTAGTTTCGTCTGTGTGCTTAGTGTTTGCTTGTTGTTTTCTGTGCTTAGTGTTTGTTAGTTGGTCTGTGTGTTTGTTTGTCTTTGTTTGGATATGAATACAGGCTAGGCATTGTGCAGTGGCTCTGTTATTCATGTTCCTTTATTTTCGGTTGTGGAGTTCTCTAGGCCGCTATGCGCGTGTCCTCTCAGTTTTCTCTTCATGTCCTTTTTTAGGCGTGTTTTTGGTTTGGGCCGTTGGCCCCTGTCTCATTACCCTGTTGGGGTCTTAGATTACCCCGTTGGGGCCTTGTAATTTGTTTCTTTGCACTTTTGTGCTTTTTATAGTACATCTATCGTTCCGAAAAAAAAAAAAACTGGACGCACACAAATCTTGTAAAAATCATAACTTTATCGATATGGCTCGAAATCGAGAAATTCCAAAGTCCAAATTTAGTAAACTGAACAAACTACATTTCATTTGAAGACCACAATTTCAAATAACCAGCTTCAGATAGCTTAAAACGCGGCACAACAGATCAGCGATTAACATGTTTTCACATAAAATAACTATGACTTATAAAATGAATGTTCTAATCTCGACAATGATCAAGATACTTTCTTGACAGAAATTAAACGAGCATATTGAGGTTCAACACAGCAACAACATGATTCTCGGTTTAACGAAGACACGAGCATAATACGATAAAAGAAACGACATATACGAGCCGGTAAGCCATTCGAAATAAATCCGACTTCAAACAAGAATTCGGTAACACGCATGATACAAACACACACACACACACACATATATATATATATATATATCTATTATGACCGGAATAACGAGAGGATTCGAATAAGTTATCCGCTTTCGAATATCTACGAGTTATCGGAAGAAAAACGGGCCGAATAACGGGTCGAAGTTCCGCCGGAAACACGGGAACGGAGGGAACTCGCCGGAAAAAAAAAAAAATAAAGTCGCCGGTAAGGGCCTACTCGCAGAGGTGGAAGGCGTTGCTGGTTCGCGACTGCTCGAAGGACGAACAGAAGTCGTCGGGACTCGCTGCGAGGGGCTGAAGACGATGATGATGAAGGAGGACGAAGGTTGATGATGATGGGAGAGAAAGAGAGAAGAAATTTGAGAGAGACGAGAGATGAGGATGGCATATGGAATCAGATTTAAGAAGAAGCAAAAACATGTGGTTGCCGTAACTCATGGATCAAGATTATGATATTATTGAGATGTTCATGTGAGGGAGATAGATACATATTTGTATCTATATATTCACAATAAAAAAAATATTGTTTGACTATTCTTGATTTAAGATAAAAACACACGCACACACACTCACATAATACATGAACCGGGTTTTTGGGCGGGCTGTGCGGGTTTGGCTCTCGGGCTCGGTTAATCGCACGATAAATAGATAAAAACCGGGAAAGAATTAAATAAATTGCACATATATATTTTTAAAATAATAATAATAATAATAAAATAAAAATACACATTTAGGCAATTTTTATTACAATTAAGCAACAATAATATTTAGACATTCAATAATCATAGCAACAACAACAACAACAACAACAACAACAACAACAACAATAATAATAATAATAATAATAATAACCATACATAATATTAATAATACACAATCTCAAATAATCTATTTCTAAGATAAACGAACCAGAATAAAATTCTAAAACTGGCCCGATTACTGAATAGAATTTTTACAGAGAATATAATTATATTATCCACCTAATAATTATATATATATAATCTCATAATCAAAGAAAATCAGAAAAATCTAATATTCGAACGGGGCGCTACATTGTCCTTTCTACTTTCGTTGTTTTCAAGTTTAATTTTTTCTTCAATTCCTTGTCAAAAATGGCTTCTTCGAATATGGAGTAAGTATCGTCCAGTAGTAGTGGACGAATTCTGGAAATTTATCCGATATAGAGTTGGATGCCGAATACTATCGGTGGGACCCGATACTCACTGCACGTCTCGACATGAAAAGGAACAATGTCGAAGGTGATTTGGAGGTGGAAAATAATAGGATGGTCTTCCCGGTCTATTGGAGGCGGCCTGCACGGCAATGGCCAGACTCTGACATAGACTTCGTGGGGGAACCAAGCATTTTGAAGGACGACGACGTTGCAATGCTTAGAAAACATGTCCGAGTTCCATCATCGGTGAAACTATTCACTCCGTACCCGGGAGAAAGAATTACGTGTCCTCCTCCCGGCTGTATCGGGGTTTTTGGAGAGAGTTTGAGGTCGGGTCTGAGATTTCCTCTCCCTAATATGATTACTGAGTATCTTCATGATAGGAGGTTGAGTTTGTGCCAAATAACCCCGAATAGTTGGGAGAGAATCATCGGTCAGATGGTTCTGTTGAATGAGAAGGGTTTAGACTTCCCTTCGGTTGAAGAGATGAGAAGATTGTTTTTGTTTAAAAAGAGCCGATACAGGGCGAAAGCACCACCGTCATGCTGTTTTTTCTGCGCAGCTGAACAGCAATTGGACCTCAAGGTTGGGGATCTAGTGACCGAGATACCAGATACGCTTCACAACTTTCAAGAGGAGTGGTTATGGGTTGGTGGAGATTAGCAGTCTCCCGACTTCCTCCATGAGCGACTGATTGATGGGCTTACTATTCCGTCTCAGATTGTCTCTGCATATTATAAGCTTATGTTTTGCAATGAATTCATTTTTGCTAATTCATTGTCTTTTGTACTAACAGGTCGGGCTTTTCTTGCTTGTAGCAAAAAGGACGAAGAAGCCCAAGTTTTCCGCCGAACAAGAGACATATATAAATTATTAATATATAATATAATAAAACACACAAAAACAAGTCATGGTCAATCAACTAAGTGTCCAACATAAATTCTTTCCATAACAAATCAATTTTGCTTTAGAAAAAAAACATCATATTGTCCACCAAAATTGATGCACATCTTTTAGCGTAATATTCTTCATTTAACAAATAAAAACGAGAGTAAGTAATCAATTGACACCTTAATTTGTGCCCAGAATTTATTCATCCGTGATTAATCAATTTCACTACATATTTGGAGCATTTTTCAACATATATTCTTATATATAATTTTTTTTATTATTGATTTCACATTTAAATCCTATGTTACTATCATTAGCAAATTCAATTTTCTTATTTCCACATTAGTTGTTGCACCATTTTTAATATCCATTTCTTAATTTGGCAAAATGAGTAAAAAATAAGTGACCATTTGACACCATAATTTCAGTCCAGAATTTAATGTCAATAAAAATTGGGCAGCAAGGCTTTCAAAAAGATTTTGCATGATTTTATCATTTGCAGAGTTCGTTTTTCTTCTTTTTGTAATATATAATGTTGACAAAAAATTATGATAATTATTTTTTTCGCTCTTTTCAATTTTGTTTTGTATTAATAAAATAATTATATGTTTATTTATTTTATTACATAATATCTACTAAGTAATTATAAAGTCATATTAAATGATATTATATTTTAGAACTTTTTTTGAAACTATTTATTTAAAATATTATTTATTTTTTTAGCTCATTAAACAAGTTTTTTAATTATATTTAGGTAATTATTTATTATGACATAACCAAACCCATAAAATCCCATACATAATTGCTATAATAATAATTTCAATAATTAATCGGTTATAATTAACCAAACTTGCAAAATTATATTATTGCGATCAATATAAAAATTAACATATGTTAAGTAGTCTATATTTGTATCGTTCATTTTTACTAATTTACTGATGATAAAGTATAAAATGTGATATGTTCATAGTCTAACTTATGTTTTTAAATGTTACATACACGCATATATAACATATAAAATTTTATTTGCATTTGTATATGTGCACAAGATCGAATACTAGTTTAGTATCAAAACCAATTAAGTTGGAACATGGTTTACCAAAATCGAAAAGCAATTATAGTTGGATGCCAGCTAAGAACTTTTCCAACATATCATGAATGAAAATTTGATAATAAATTAAAAAAATTATTAACCTTTAAACATATTTATAATTTATATGAAATTTTGATAATACATAAATAAAAATTATTAACCTTTAATTATATTTAAAATTCAAGTTACTCAAGTGTTTTATAATTTTAGAATTCTAAATTTAAATGAACTACTCGCAAGAATAAGATTATATAAACATCAAAAACCAATACAGAAGATTGCAAAAACATGAATTGACCCGTAAATTTGAGAAACTCTACCTTTAGTTTATATATATGCAGGTGTTCCGACTACAGATAATGCCTCTACTGGTGCTACTCCGCAGATAGTAAATGAATATACCATCTCTGAATTTTTTATTTTTTACTTTTTTGCAATAAATAATACCCGCGCTACTTTTTCTATTATTTTCTATCATGGCACAAAGCAATTCCTTCCGCAATCACACTGCAACTAGCTGTTCAATAAATATAGTGTACTACTTGTTGGCATAGAAAAAAAAAAAAAAAAAACCGGGAAATGGGTCTAACATAACCTGCAATGTAGTAGTCTCTACCAAATCGGGACACTTTACTGCAGAAACCGGGAAATGGGTCTAACATAACTGAACCCTTTAAAGAGGTTATCACCATCTGGGCTACAGGCTGGCGAGTCGAGCAATGGCGTTTTAGTCCACCGCTCGTCAAAGTTGGCCACACACAGCTGGCCAGCTACTTGAGGAAGGAAGCTCGGGAAAATTTCACGGGCCTCGAGTTTCTTCCAGTTGACCGACTTGAACCACTTGTGGCCCTTTAATTCCTCAGATCCTCTTGGACCACTTCCGAGGCGTTTGTTTGCCTCCTTTTGGAGAAGCTGAAGTATAAAATAAAATGAGAAAATCATGAGTCCTTATGGTCTAATTTGCAATTGCCTTCATATTTATAATCGAAAAAAAAAGGATGGCAATTAGGAGAGAGAGAACAATATTTGGAATAATATGTAAAAAATGATGGAAATTCAAGGAATCATGCACTTGAATTTCTCAGGTTTCTCAGGTTGCAAGTCAGTCACTTTTACTGGAAAATATCAACTCATGGTTGAAATCAAGATTTTCTGTATTAAAACTTTTCAGTTTAAAAGTTTTGGCAAAGGTATATTTGAAACCCACAATACATCAACTCATTGCCTTTAAACTCATTAAAACTTTTCAGCTGAAAACATTTGGAGAAGGTATTTAAGAAAACCCACAATACATCAGCTCCCCAACCTATGAAATCATTGCTATCCTCCAATGTTTAGACTCGAACATCCACAAGTTTCACACAAGTTTATCGCAAGAACTTTACAAGTTCAGGAAAAACAAATATTTCAATTGCACAACGTAAATAGGTTGCTTACAGGTGAATTAGAACTAACTTACCCCTTTAATCAGAGAATGGGCATCACTAGACAGAAATGTTGGCAGCTTGATTTTGTCCTTGAGTATCTTCTGCTGGATTTTCTGACGATTTCCCCCAACAAATGGAGGCTGCAAATGTTACACGCAAGACGTTAACTTTTACTAAATTTATGAAGAACTGGTTTGAAAATCTTTATAGTGCAACAAAAGCTCTCAATCACTGCATGCTTAACCTTCGAGTCTTGGTTGGACCCATTACAGCACAAGGCCTAATGGGGGATGGAGTTTCTTAATACAAAATGAGCAATATAATTCACCTCTTTTTTGAAGAGTAAACAACATTCAAGAGGGTAGGTACGAAATAAAATGCATGTCAAAATTCTTAATAGAAAAACTTGGGATTCTAAATTTAGCCTGACTACCAATAAAAAATCTAGTCATCTTCCAAAAAGTTTCTCATGGTATGTATTTGCATAATTTATGTGTCAGATACCATTCTTCAAGTTGTAATTCGAAAATAACAACTAATTTTATTTATTTATTCAGGAACATGTTTTTATCTTCTTCTTAAGTGAAATGAAGCTCATCAAAATTATAATTATAGTGTACCAAATTATTCATTTCATGGCCAAAATATAACCTTTCCTGTCAACATCTCGTATAAGAGAATCCCCACACTCCACCAATCAGCTGCCTTGTCGTGGCCTTTTCCAAGAATAATTTCAGGAGCCATGTACTCAAGAGTTCCACACATTGAGTTGGACTTAGTTTCCTCATCAAATTGCTTTGCAAGACCAAAATCCGTTAGCATTGCCTGCAATCGACGGACATAAAAGAGGTAAAAATGAAATGCAGTAAAGAAACATACAATAAGCAAATGATTGAGAACATGACCAAAGCAGTATTATGACCTTCGATTTCAAATTCATATGCACATATAAAGATAAGACTTCAAATTCATATACAAATATGAATAACGAGCATGCAGATATTAATCAGAGAGAGAGAGAGAGAGAAAGAAGAGAAGAGAGAGAGAGAAGCCAATATCTTACATGCCCCTCTGCATCAAGCAGAATATTCTCAGGTTTTAAATCCCTATGCATAATGCCATGAGCATGGAGATGAGAAACAGCAGAAACAATCTCAGCAGCATATATGCGAGCCAACTCCTCTCTGTAAAAGAAAATTAAATGTAAGATACCAAATCACAGCTGAAGTTGTACGATTACAAATAACTCATACCTGAACAGGCCTTGATGATACAGTTGAAAAAAAAGATGACCACCATTAACAAAATCAAGCACGAGGTACAATCTATATTTTGTCTGCACAACATAAATGTTTCAAATCAAAAGCAAGCTACAGAAGCAAGGACTTTTGACAGTGAAGAATTTGTAAATTACAGATATCGCTCCTGACTCCTGAGTGGTAACATAATTGCAAAAGAGGCCAGTTATTTTCCATGATTACAAATGTTCCCAACCCATACAATGCCACCTTGTGGTCCATATTTGCTACCTTCTAAACAAATAGTCCCATTATTGTTTTGTGAGGAAGCCGGCGTTTGTAGTGCTGAATGATAGTCGGGTTATCATGTAATTAAACAGAACCTCATGGGGTTTTCTTACTTTTGGTTATTATTTAGATCATAAAAAAAATAAAAAATAAATAAAACATAATCTTGCAAAAGAAACCATATCTGAAGAATATTGTATCTCCGTATCTCAAACCTGAACATAAATATAGAGAAAAACACATACAGATAACTATCTAAGTACCTGAAAAGAGTATCTAAGCTGCACAATGAAAGGATGGTCGATCTTCGTCAATATATCCCTCTCTGCCTTCATGTACTCTGCATGATTTTTCTCCATAATTTTATCTTTCCTCATAACCTTCATTGCGAATATCTCAGATGAACCAGATTTTCTCACTTGGTATACTTTACCAAATGCACCTTGCCCCACAAGCTTTAAAAACTCAAAATCCTCAAGCCCAATTGTCTTCTCCAAGCCATCCTCGACCTTAATATTATATTTATCCGAAATAATTTTTTTCTCAGACAAATATTCAGAAACATTGTCTTGGGTTAAATCTTCTTTCTCACGCAGTGTAAGCTTGGCCAATTGGTTCACACTCGAAGGACCGACATATGAGTGTGAACGTGTGTATATTACAGCTGGCACGTCATAAATCAAATCATGTGCAGCATTAAACGAAACGAGATCCGTGGAATCTTCAGATATCTGAGGTAAAGTCGGCAAAGGACCAAACAAGTCTGAGAAATCCAAGTCGACGTGCTCAAGTGTAACATCAGGGGCTTCAGCAGAAAGAAGAACATGGTTTTGGAAAGATTTTAGCAAGTTGGTCCCGTTCAATTTTGAAAATTGAGACGAGACCATAATTTCCAAGGCTAAAGCAGGCCTGAGGTTTATGAGACTAAAGCAAGTTGGTCTCGTTCAAGGTTTTGGAAAATTGAATTATATATAGGTTTATGAGACTAAAGCAGGCCTGAGGATGGACACCTGACAGTAGTCTTGAACAGCAGGAAACTCAAGAAAACAATAGGGCTTCCAAGAAATTGAGGGAAAAAGCAGCACAAAATCCAGATAAGAATCTTGTTTCCCAGTTGGCAGGAAACAGATGATACAACAGAGCTTCTTGAATTCATGAAGATCAGGCGATTGGCTGAAATTTGGTGAATACAAGAATGTCAGGGAACCCATACATGACATGCATCAAGTATGACCTAGAAATAAAAACTAAGGATAACAGACAGAACAATTCCAAACAAATATTGCATTATATTTAGATAAAAAGTGACACGATGAGATGGATTAAATGAAGCATCAAGTGACAACAGATGTGGAAACTTCTATAAAGCGTTATTCTCAACTAACTATACATATGCCTGCAAAACATACTACTGTTAGATGTTCCTCTGAGTCATTTATTATGTTTCACAGTAAATAAAGAAAGGCATCTATAAAGGCTTAAAAATCAAGGAAGCGCATGGAAAAAAGTCTTAAACTAGGCAGGTATTGATAATACAATAAATCATACTTCAGTAATTTCCATAGGTTAATATTCAAAATTAGACATTTTTCTAGGTGAGCCTACTAAAACTATATATCTCGCATAACACTTGAATGAGATAATATACTATCTTTTGGCAGTCTATAATAAATTAGAGATTTTCAACATAGCGGTTGACCTCCCAATATTTTAAAAATGGAAAGCAAAATAATGTATATATATTCAACAATATCCGACAGGATAAATCATCAACCAAGTTTAGTTTTTCTAGAAACAAAATATGAAACATCAAATAAACAACATTTTCCACACAGAATATATTTGGGCGCTTGTCCATTGCAAATGGAGCTGGAAGAGTCATTGTTGACAATTCTCCTGGCATAGTGCTAATAATGGACTAGATCAAAATGACTCAATTGAATTTTAGTGCTTCTTCTATTAGTGAAGTTTCTAGAAAAAAAAAAATATATCAAACGGCGCAATGCACCTTGGGCCGCTACGGAAACAGCCTCCTTGTATAATTACAAGGGTAAGGTCTGCGTACAACAGACCCCCCAGACTCCAACCTGTTGGGAATATACTGGGTATGTTGTTGTTGTTGTTGTAATATATTTGGCGCAAATAAAGTTATGAAGACTAGCTTGCCTAGTGAGCACTCATCTAACAATTTTTAAAACATTACTTAAACCTCAAATCATTAGATGTAGGAACCCTTCTCAATGTTAGTAGCTACGACGTCATTTTCCCTATTGTTTTTGAATTTCATAGCCTCGGGCTTTCTTTATAAGCCGCGGGTTTGCATGATGAAACGGTTATGATGAAATAACAGATATTGGGAATATATTTGTTCGAGAATTTTTCTCTTAATTCATTGCTTTCTTCAGTTCTTATACAATATCCCACCAAATGAACACCTGTCTCTCACACTTCTCACACACTGCACCCAATCTGGAGCATATAACTTCATACACACAGCTGTTATGAGTGAATCGCTTCAAACATAATGCTAACAATCTATTAATTTCTTAATTTCTTCATAAACATATACATTCTAATTATATGTGAACAGTTGAAATACAATTAAGAACTTGTAACTAATTCACAAATCCACATCACACCCTAACAATAAAATGTCAGATAAACAAAATTCAGATCCAAGTATTTGAATGAAATTCATGGACGTTGAAATTCTGAAGATTTCAATTCTTTCAATGCAGACAAAAGCTTTCAAAAGAATAAAAAAAAAACATATGGATTTTCCATACAGAAAATTGCATTTCAAAACACGCAAATCCATCGGGAAATTGTTTGAAGGAGTGGCTAATAGTTGATATTCGTAAAATTAACATCAGTCAAAAGCACGAAAGAGGAAAAAAATCCATTTCTCGGGAAAGAATAAGAGTTATCGACAGTTTCAGAAAAACAAAACCACTTAAACCTAGAACAAATCCGAGAAAACAAATGAAAATAAGCTTCTAAAGATTCAGATACCGCAAATAAATTTGGTTCACCTTGATGAAAACTGCAGAATAAAGGCGAAGGGAGATCGTTGAGCATAAGAGAGAATAACAGAAGCGAAATGAACGGGGTCGCGTGGCCGTTCACACAAATACAACTAACACCCGGATTATTAAAAAGAAAAAGGAAAAAAGAGGAGTTTTCAACGTGGCGCGGTTATATTGGATTAGAATGTCTTCCAGCCTTACTTGAAATCAAAAGTGGGTTGTTCCGTGTGCTGCTAAGATTAATTTTTTTTTTTTTTTTTTTAAAACGATAGATTTCATTCATAATAATATGTACACGCCGAGAGGCCGAAGCCTCAATGTTCAAAATAATATACAATGGAGCCCACCCTAAAGTGGCCTAAACAATATAACAAAACATCATCAAATGAACTATAGACAGAAATAACATCAGCACCCTATAGCCTTATAATATTTTAGACTATTAAAACAATACAGGTAGTGGAGCATATATGCATGAAGTAGCAGTATCATGAAAGTGTGAAATCCACTGAACCCTTGGACCTAGATTGTCTCACTCTCATTACTGCATCTCTTTTGTAAACCTGTACTGCTTGAATTCCAGCCAATCACCATATGCTGCTTGAATTATAGCTTGATCCGGCATTTGAATATCTTGAAATTTCCAAAGATTTCGGGACTTCCATAGCCACCATAATATATAAGTAGTCAACTCTATTCTGGCTTCTGAAATGTCCCTTTTTGTCAATTGAGCACACATCCCACCACCAATATTTAAAAGAATCTGAATTTGTTGGTTCCTTCCATCTCAGCGGTGATAATTTCCAAACTCTCTTGGCTTTATCACAATGCAACAACATATGCTCAACAGTTTCAATATCCTCCCCACAGCTTTTACATATTGGATCAATGTGTAATCCCCTTCTCTTTAGATTCATGCTGACAGGGAGAGTGTCTGTGTAACATCTCCAAATAAAATGCTTTAGTTTTTGTTTGACTCTAAGACCCCAACTTCTGATTCTGACTTTCCTCTCAATTTGTTGGGAGCTACTACATTCAGCAGCATCAATCTCCCTCAACTTGTTAAGCACCAGAAAAAAATAAGAGCTTGAAACAGAAAATTTACCTTTCTTGTCCAGAGACCATAACCATTTATCTTGCAATGAGGGATCCAGAGTGTTGATTTGCAGAATAGCAGCAGCATCAGATGGGGTGAAACATTCTTCAACTTTCCTTTTATTCCATGATCTTCCATCATCTTCCAATTCTTGTACCCAAGTTACTTGTCTAACTCCTTCTTCTGTTTTTTCAGGCACTCCATTGACCACTCCAGGAACCAAAGGGTCACTCCATATTTTGATACTATTCCCATTTCTCACCAGAATATTGAAAAAGCTTTTAAATTTATCCTTCACTGACAGCCAATGACACCAAAGCCAGGAAGTATTATAAGGTTTTGTAGCTTGCAATATAGAACAATCTGGAAAATATTTACCTTTAAGGACTCGTGTGACCAACAGGTTAGGATTTGTAATTATCCTTCAGATTTGTCTGAGAATGAGTGCTTCATTAAACAAAGCTACATCTCTAAAGCCCAATCCCCCAGCTTCTTTTGGTAAAGTGATTCTTTTCCATTCTTTCCAATGAACACCAGCAGATTGATCATTAGTGGCCCACCAGAAATTAGCAGATAGCCTGGATATTTCCTTGCAAATGCCTTTAGGTAGACAAAAACATGACATAGAAAATACAGGCAAAGCTCCCAATACAGCCTTCATAAGTACCTCCTTGCCTGCATATGAGAGATACTGATTTTTCCAGTTGCTAAGTCTGGTTCTGACTGCATTCAACACAAAATCAAATGATTCCTTCTTTGACCTACCAATACCTAGGGGAAGTCCTAGATATCTGGTAGATCTGTGAACCTGTATACCTCCCAACAACTGACATATCAAAATTTGATTAGAAAGCAAGCAGTTTTTACTGAAATATATTGATGACTTGCTTAGATTAACTTTCTGTCCAGTGAACTTTTGGTATCTATGCAGCAAATTCAGCAGAATGTTAGCATGATTGGCATCTGATTCACAAAGTATTAAAGTGTCATCAGCAAACATGAGATGAGAAACAGCAGGACTCTTCTTAGCAATTCTCAACCCCTTAAACCTCCCTCTTCTCACTTCAAAATTCATTAATTGAGAAAGAACTTCAGAAATAATGATAAAAATATAAGGGGATAGAGGATCCCCTTGTCTGATGCCTCTTGAAGCTTTGAAATAACCCTGCACCTCACCATTTATATTCAATGAAATAGAAGTGGAAGAAATACAAGCATACACCCATTTAACAAATTTAGGATGAAACCCCATCTTCAGCATCACTTTCTTCACACATTCCCATTCAATTCTATCAAATGCTTTCTCCATATCTAGTTTAATTAGCATGAAGCTTTTCCTCCCAGATCTAAGCCTATTCAAATAGTGAATGGCTTCTTGAGCTATAACTACATTATCCAAAAGCTGTCTTCCCGGAATAAAAGCAGATTGATTTTCACTGACACACCCAGACAGACAAGGCTTGATTCTTAATGATAGAATTTTAGCAATAACTCTGTAGGAGACATTACACAAGCTAATTGGTCTATATTGCTTAAGTGTAGAGGGGTTCAGACATTTTGGAATTAAAGAAATAAGTGTGTGGTTCCATTTCTTCAATAATTGCCCAGAATCAAAGAAGCTACAAATAGCTTTACAAAAATCAGCAGATAAGATATTCCAGAATTTCTAAAAAAAGATAGGACTCATACCATCAGAGCATGGAGCTTTCCCTGGATTAAGACTAAATAATGCTGCTTTAATCTCCTCCTCTGTAACTGGAGCAATGAGGGAGTCATTCATTTCTGATGATATTGAAGCTGGAATAGGATGCAAAATGTCTGCTTCCCCACTAGACCCCTCCTTTTTGAACAGCTTCTCATAAAAGCAGCAGATGTGATTTTTAATATCTTCCTTGTTATCCAATATTTGATTGTTCTCATCCACAAATCTGGTGATGGCATTAAGCTACCTCCTCTACAGAGTTAATGCATAAAAATATTTGGTGTTGGAGTCACCTTCTTTGATCCACTGTACTCTTGATTTCTGGGCCCAGTACTCTTCTTCTTCTTCTTTAATCACCTTATCCAATTCTCTACTCAGTCTACCACATTCCTCCCAATCTCTATCTGCTCCCATCTTGCTCATGCTGTCCAGCTTAGAGTTGATTTTATTTTTCTTCTGGATTTGCTCTCTTCTGAATAGTGCACTCCATTTAAGTAAGGCCAACCTTGTGGTTTTGATCTTCTCTGAAACTTGGTACATGGGAGTACCACTTTGTTCAGTCTGCCAACCCTCTTTGATCACCTCTAGAATATCAGCCCTGTGCAACCATCTTTTGTCAAAAAAGAATCTCTTAGCCTTGTGCATTGTCCTGTCAGGTTCATCATTCAAAGCCAACAATCTGTGGTCTGAAGAGCTTCTGAAGGTATTGTACACCATAGCATTTTGGTGATCTGCAAGCCAATCAAAAGAAGCAAAAATTTTGCCTATTTTTTCTTCAATAAAACCCTCATCCTCCCTATTGTTACCACATGTAAAGTTATGTCCTAACAGTGGCAACTCATGCATACCCATATTAGAAATAAAATCATTGAATCCCCTACATTCACTTTATGTTTTATCAATTTCTACTAGCTACTTCTAAAAACTGCCATTGCAATATCCTTTCATTTTTATCTGTACTAGCATATACAAAAGTAATCCAAATATGCCCTTCCTCCTCAATACCCTCTACTTCTACTTGAATACAAAAATAATTACATAATATTTTCTTAACTACTACATCAGAATGCCACAAAACAAGCAAACCCCCACTCAAACCCCTAGGTTCCATAGCATGCCACCTTCCCCTGTATCCTATTTTGTTACAAACAATTTTAATGAATTGGTTTCTTTTCTTAGTCTCAGAAAGAAAGATCAAGTGTGGGTGGTGAAGTCTGGAAGACTCCTTGATTTGGGCAACTGTAGAGGGACCACACAACCCCCTACAGTTTCACATGATAAGTCTCATTGGGCCCTTGGGGGCCACTCTGGGCTGGCCACCCCCACCTCAGACAGTGTATTTTTCAATTTTTTATTACCCATGTTCTCCTAATCCCCTTCATCAGCTTCAGAAGTTTCTGTTGCCAAATTCCTCTTCCTCATGTTGGGTATTAAATCACTTTGAGCATGGTTCTCTGAAGTAAATGATGCAGCTTTTCCTCCTGTGTCACTAGATTTCCTCCTCCAGCCTTTCCTCTTTGAGGTACCTTCTCCTGGTAGCTCATCTACCTCCTTCAAATCATTGTTAACTTGTATGATTTCCACATCCATCAGAATAACATTACTCCCTTTTGGTTGTCTTCCACTATTAATGTGTGTAAAAACTGGAATCAAAGCTAAGTCATTATCCTTTTCCCCTCCAGATTGTTGTAGGGCCATTGCCATAGGGTCAGCATTGGTTTCTACTCTGGCCATCTGTTCTTCTTGTGCTTGAACTTCAGTACCTGCAGATTTATGGCAAGCCTCATTCAGTTGATTTTCTTGACTGTCCTGCTGTGCTTTTGAAGGTGTTTCAGAAGATGGGCCGGAACTGAACCTTCTTCCTACATAACTATCCAAAGCCCTCATCCATTCACCATATTGTCCCTTCTTGAGTTCCCCCTTCTCCATGTCAGCAATTCTTTTTCCACAGCTCCTTTCTAGGTGGCCTATAATTCCACAGTAGAAACATGTATTTACCAACTTCTCATACTGAAAGCTTGCTCTGACATGTGTATCATTTAATCTCAGATTTGCAATTCGAGGTAGAGGCTTAGCCGTATCAACAACTGCCAGAAGTCGTAAATAACTACCCCTTTGGCCTCCTGCTTTTACCACTGATACATTCTTGATATGTTTGAACATCTTCCCAACTCGTAAACCCACATATGTGCATAACCAGTTAATTGGGATGCCATTTACATGAACCCATAGTTTAAGTTCAGAAAATTTCTCATGCTTCTCTGTGAGTCCTTCTTCCCATTCTGATAGAACAAGATTCTGGTTTTCAAAGA